ATGAACTCTCTGCCTGTTCTGTTCCGGCCAAGGAGGCCGTCAATGAACTCTCTGCCTGTTCTGTTCCGGCCAAGGAGGCCGTCAATGAACTCTCTGCCTGTTCTGTTCCGGCCAAGGAGGCCGCCAATGAACTCTCTGCCTGTCCTGTTCCGGCCAAGGAGGCCGTCTATGAACTATCTGCTTGTTCTGTTCCGGCCAAGGAGGTCGTCTGGGAACTCTTTGTCTGTCCTGTCACGGCTATAAAGGCTGTTTACAAACTCCCTGCTTGTCCTGTCATGGCTATGGAGGCCGTCGGGGAATCCTCATCCTGTCCTGTCACGGTTATGGAGGCCGTTTGTGAACTTTTGTCTTGTCCCGACCCAGCCAGGGAGGCTGCCCCTGAAAGCTCAGTTTTGTCTATCAACCCCAATGATAGACAGTCTCCGCCATGGTCTCCTGATCGGTGTGGTTCACCGGGGGGGGGGTTTCCTGTTTCCCCAGCTCCACACTGGGGGTCCTCTGCTCCGCCGTGCCCTCACTATATAACACCCACTCAAACCACCATTCTCTGCTGAGTATTGTTTAGCCTGTACCCCTTTCCGAGTCTCCGTGTTTTCCTTGTTTTGCCTTGCTTGTTTTCCTGGATTTTTCCCTCTCATCTCGCCCCTGTGATTCTGTCTGCCGATCGGTGACCTAAGCTAGCCCTAGGACTATTCTTGTGTTTTGCCCACCATATACCTGTTTGCCATTGTTTGACCCTGCCTGTTTACCACATCTCTTTAATAAAAGCTTGCAGATGGATCCACACATGTCGTCATCCCCGTTACACGGCTATTGTCTTACATATTATTTTATAAAATTTTTTTGCTCAGTGGTGGAAAAAGTACTGAAAAAATATACTCAAGTAAAAGTACCATTACCTTCCAAAAAACTACTTGAAAAAGAGTAAATGAGTAGACTATTTAAAAGTACTCATGAGTATTGAGTACTGAGCTGTGGATTCTACCCCCTCATAATAAATGCTGTACACCGCAATTTATACATTTTAAAAATGTTGTACATTCTGTAATTCACATTATCTTGTTTGTCATAAAGAATGAAGAATATCTATCATCCAGCAGTTTTAATTTTAACTGCCACTGAGACAGCATGCTGTTGTTGCACATAAAATATTAATGTTTAGAACAGTGCAAATACAAACACCATGAGAAACTCTTAGTTCAGCATTACACACCATGATATGGGTTAAAATGAGAGCCCATTTCTCTCCGAAATGGTGCCAGTTTTAGCATAATAAAGAAATAAGAATAACCAAACTTGATAATTTGTTACAATTTTAAAATAAATGTACATTGTTCTAGAAGGATGGCATCATGCCATACCTTTTACACATTTACGCGAATTGTTATGCTGATATTGATAATACAATTTGTAAGGAAACTGCATTAAATAGCGAAGTATTTCTGGGGAAA